CAAGCAGCAGCCATCTTAGCCCAGCATCACGCAGCCCTCAGTGTCCAACTCCAGGAAGCCTGCTTCCCACCTGGCCCAATCAGGTGAGGTCTGGGACTTTGTCACCCTGTCCTCTTGACCTTCCCAGATTCCCTGTCCATCTTCCAACCCACATTCTGGCTCAGGCTTCAGATCACACTTGAAGATGCTGCATCTGCTACATCCACTGCGCCCTCGGCCCATGTGACGCTGCAGGTCCACCCCCACTGCACCATTGCAGCCCTCCAAGAACAGGTGGGCATGGAGTCCAGGGAGCCCTGTCAGGGGCAAGGTACACTGGGTGACACCACCTGCCCTGATGTTCTGGCCCCAGGTGTTCTCGGAGTTTGGATTCCCGCCAGCTGTGCAGCGCTGGATCATTGGGCGGTGCCTGTGTGTGCCTGAACGCAGCCTTGCCTCCTATGGGGTCCAGCAAGATGGGGACTCTGCTTTCCTCTACTTGCTTTCAGTCCCTCGAGAAGCCCCAGGTCAGTCCTTGATGGGGGTGAGATGCAGGAGATAGGGTGCAACCCAAGACAGCCCCAAACTCTACCCTGTCTGCCACAGGACGAAGACGTCAGTGCCCCCAGAAGATGGATGGGGAATTAGGACACTTGATTCCTCCGTCATCGGGGCTGCTCCAAGCCCCCCAGCCAGCTACCTCCAGCCTCCCCAGCCCCCTTCAGGTAGGCAAGGGAAGGGATGAGGCAGAGCAGGGGTTGGGCAGCTGTGGGCACTGGAGAGAATGAGGAAGCACCAATTTTCTCCACTTACCCAGCCTGGCTGGCCCTGTCCTTCCTGTACCTTCATCAATGCCCCAAGCCGCCCTGGCTGCGAGATGTGTAGCACCCAGAGGCCCTGCACTTAGGACGCCATTCTTGCAGCTTCTACCTAGCAGCTACCAAAAAGGTACCAGAGGCGGAGGTAGGGGAGATGGGGGCAGGGCAAAACACACAGGAATGACTGTCTCCTCTCCCACAGGTTACAAGGAGACAAGCTCTTCCCTCCCAGGCCTGAGGTCCCAGGTCCCCCTCCTGAACTTCTCAGGGGACCTCTGCTGTCTGCTCACTGGGACCAGAGCCACCAGAGTTGGGGGTAAGGGCCACGAACCAGGCATTAAAGACACTTAAGAGCCAGCAGGTGTCCCCTTCACAGTGTCTCTGTGCAGATATGCCCCAGCTCAACCAGGACTGTAGGGAGATGGATCCTCAGTAGGTGGGGTTCCCCCAGCAGACCCAGGTGGTACTGAAAAGTGGACTTGGACCATGAGACCCAGTGGTCACAGGAGTATGGCATTGGGATCTCTTCCCCAGAAGCCTACAGGAACACCCCCCCAGCTGCTGCCTACTGGGTTGTGACTGCTGGGGTGCACCATGCATTTAACCCCACCCCTATAGCTGACCTTGTTTCCTGCTGTCCACCTTGGTCTCCCAGACCTGCACCCTTCCTCTGCCTGCAGCCCTGTTAGCACTTTTCTCCCAGTCAGCTCTTGCCCTCAGACTTTGGCAACCACTCCCTTCAGCTCCTCCAGCCAGGTTGACACCAACAATGAAAACGGGTGTTTTCCTTCCCTTCTTAGAACAGGAAAAGCTCACAAGCCTGCATCAGGGCCTTGTGCTACTACTGGTTACGTCTCTATGACTCTCCTGGGTAGCATCCGCTGCCACCCTCCCCTTAGCATGCTGCCATGTGAACCCAAGCATTGCCAACTTTCTGGCCTGGACCCACCACCTAGCTGCTCCGTGGATTGCTAGAAACTGCCATTCCATGACAAATACCCTGCCATGTCCTCCATCCCCAGGCATGTGACCTTCTACTTTAGATAGCACCTCCAACTGTTCAGCCAAGGCACCAGGAGGATGTTCCAGGTGCCCTCCTCTGCCTGCCTATCTTTTTCCTCTCTGCCCAGAAATAGCTCCTGTTCTAGACCAGGCCTTTCCCTTGTTGAGATGCTGCTGAGGATAAAGGCCAAATGGTTCAACACCCTTCACACCTGGTTTGTCACTCTAGGTTCCCAGGCCCTGGACCATGTGCAGCATGGCCAGGCCCTTTTTAGGCCTCTGTGCCCAGAAATACCCCACCCTGCTGAATGCTGCCACTTCTCTAACATCCAGTTCTCTTGCTGTCTGTCACACAACCAGTACTCTCTGGACTCCTAGCTGCCAGTTAGTGTAGGGCAATGCTAGCCACATTGCATAGGACATCCTGGGCGCTCAGTAAGGGCAAAGGTATTACTAGATTTCCCTGCAGATCTGCAATCCTTTCATATGAATGCTCAAGTATGTACACTGAGAAACTTAATTTATTCCCATCATGGGGGCTGAAGGAGAGTCTGGAACTTGAGGCTGGTCTTCTTCCCCCTCCCCTCTTGTCCCAGATGAAGAGGGGCTTAGCTGAGTAGGACAGCTGAGGCCTGAACAGGCCCAGGATGGCTCCTGGGCTTGAGGGCCTATTGTGACAGTGGCAAGCAGATGTTGAATGAGGTCACTTGGGTGGCCGATATGCCAGCTTCCGACTCTTCAGGACTGACCACTTATGCCGCTTCATGGCGTAGATCAGGGGTAGCAACAAGCCCATCATCATCAACATCTGGAGACAAGAAAGGTTCAGAGACAGGGTGGAGGGAGGGACCCCTGCTCAGCTCCAGCCCAATAACCACCATGGCCTTCTCCCAACCCTGTCACCTTGAGTCCCATGCGTTTTCGGTGGTCATGCTCTGGCTCAGATGCCCAGCGCAGGAAGGTGCACACGTCCTTCGCTACCTGGGACATGGTAGCTGGGGTACCTGGGCCAAGGACAAGTGATAAGGGCTATCCTTGGGGGCTTGTGCCAACCTGGGATAACCACCAGCAGCTCCCCCCTCAACCCCCAGGGAGCAGAGACAGGCTCCTCCCAAGTCTTCAAAGGGATGGGACCCTCTTCCCCCGGATACACACAAGACTGTGAAGGAACCCAAAGGCCTCCTCAGATAAGCACAGATAATACCCCAGCTACAAAAGGGTCAGGACTTCTTGGGCCCAGGAATATAGGGAAAGCACCCCTGGAATGGGAAAGGACTTAGCATGCTTGACCTCAGAATGAGGGCCTCTTACCATCATCAAACTCCAAGACGTCAGTGTAGATAGGGGGGGCCATGCCGATGGCCTGGCCAGCGAAGTAGGGGTTGAAGTAGAGGCCTTCTCGCAGTGACACCCCGGTGGGTGGCTCACAGTAGCCAGTGAGCAGAGAGAAGATGTAGTCCTCACCACCGTGCCTGGGACCAGATCCATGGCTCCTCAGCTCTGGGCAAATGTCAGACCTTCCTCCCCCTCTCCTGTACCATCACCCTGTGGGCAGCCCAGATACCTAGCTCGCACGATGTAGCTGAGGTCAGGGGGTAATGCTCCATTGTTGGCAGCACGAGCAGCTTCAGGATTGGGATATGGTTTGGGGAAGTAGTCAGACAGCTTTCCTGGCCGCATGAACATCTCCCCATCTTCATTGGGGCCATCCTGGACTTCCACCTGCCATGGAGAGCTTCATCATAACCCTGAGGTCCTACCACAGTGGGAGCCCTGGATTCTCCAAATCCCCAGACCCCCGCACCTCCTCAGCCAGCGCCTTAGCTTCATCCTCTGTGTAGCACACGCCCACCAGGTGGCGGTAAGCCACGTAGTCCATGCTGTGGCAGGAGGAGCACACCTGCTTATATACCTGGAAACCCCTCCGAATGCTAAAGAGAAGAAAAGGGTTAAGGGCAGGAAGATTCCACCCCACCCACTCCGCCCAGAACCTCCCTGTCAGCCAGCTGCACACCTGGTGTGGTCCAAGGAAGAGAGGAGGCCACGGTGAGACCACGGATAGCTGGGGGGGTGCAGCTCCAAATCACTGGCACTCACAGCAGAATGCAGAGCAATGGCTAGCCCTGCACCCCCTGCCGCTAGCATGCCCAGCGCTGACAGCATCACCTTACGGCCTCGGGAAAGGCCAGACTTCAACGACAAGGACACTGCCTGCAAGATCTCCGCTCAGCACCTGCCAGGACACCACCCAGCCCTACCTGGGGATATGACTCTAAGCGCCCACCTCTCCATCTAGTACTGGCCACCTGCAGGGCGCCAGAAGCACACCCTGTTTCACTGCCCGTCCCATCCCTCTCAGCTGCTGACACCTAGATCGAGATTCGACTTTGAGGAGAGAGTGTGAGAAATGTTCTTGGATCCTGCGTCGGGGATCAGGTCGAAATGACCAAGGGTGCTGGGGCAGGCCAAGGTCACTAGCAGTTGGCCGAGGTCAGGCTGCAGTCACTTCAGGACGCGGCCCCAATTTGGACAGTCGGCGTCAAGAGCCGTCCTGGAGACCCTCTCTGGGGAAAGCCTCCAGCTCCGACCCAGCAGCTAGCCCGTCTCGCCACCCCCCACGCTCGGGACCGGACACCTGCAGTTGGGAAGAGTGGGTGTCCGGCCTTGATTCTAGGTGTCCAAGTTAGGCAGGCAGCGGGGGCCCGGCCGGGCCAGGGATGCCGAGTGGCCGAGACCACTCCCCGCTGCCCCGTCTCGCGCCCGCAGCCTCCCCGCCGTGACCTTCACGGGGCTGCGGGGCCGCGCGGAGGCTAGGGCCCGAGTCAGCGCTCACCTGAGGCGTCCGTAGCGGGAGCTGCCCGGGCCGCGCGCCGCACAGTAGACCCCTGGCACGCGTGCCCGGGAGCCCCGCTCCCCGGGGCCCCAGTACCGCTCCGCGAAGCGAAGCCGCTGCTGCCGCCATCTTGGCCTCTTCAGCGCGGCCGCCGTTCCCGTCGGCCCCTGGGGCGCCACGCGAGCTCAAAGCTCGCGAGACCCAGAGAGCGCGGGGTGGGCCGGACGGGAAAAGCGGGGCCATCCCGGATGGGACGAGTGAGCCAGGAAATTGTCTGTCAGTGGCTGGGCACTACCTCACTGCGTTCCTCTGGTCGTTGGGGAAACTGGAGGTTAGCCGGGGCCCTGTCGCGTCTCCCTGTTGCCGTGACAACGCCTTCAACCTTCCTAGGTTCCCCGCTCGGCGCCCTGCGCTCACCAAACGCCGCGCCACTCCCAGTCCCGAACCCACAAGATCTTCAAGACCCTCTATGCTTCCTTTAGCAATATTTCTGAACTGGTACGGTGACCCAGCGAATCCTGCCCCTCCAGGCTGCCGCGGTGGACAGACCTGCAGAGAGAAAGGGCGGTTTGCTAGGGTAGTCCAGTAAAGGGTGTGGGTCTTATGGCCGGCCCCTGCCTCTGCCGCCGGCTCTCCGCTGACTAGGAAGGCTGGGAGCTTCCGGCTGTAGCCCCCACCACTGCCTCGACCCAGGTAGGGCAGGTTGGCTCCTGCCCCGTAGAATTTATATATATATATTTTAATTTTTTTTATTTTTTGAGCTGGAGTCTCACTCCGTCGCCCAGACTGGAGTGCAGTGGCCGCTCCCGGCC